AAAAGAAACAAATAGGAAGAATGAAAAAAAAATATATATATATATATATATATATATATATATATATATATATATATATATATATATTCTTCTTCTCCTTCTTCTTAGCGTCATCCCTATTCGGGGTCGCCGCAGCGCGTCTTTAATTCACGCATTGTTGATTTTGGCAAGAAGTTTTACGCCGGATGCCCTTCCTGTCGCAACCACTTTTTAGTCGCCTTTTACGATCACGCAGGGGATACGGTGGGACTATATTCTAAAGCCGGACCCACACAGCGATATTTATATATATATATATATATATATATATATATATATATATATATATATATATATATATATATAAAAGGAAGGGGGAGGGGCTGACATAAAGTAGCTTCTGTTTTCAGTTCTTCAAAAGATCTGAATTACTTGCGATAACACTTTAGAGTGTTAGATCATATACATAAAAATCAAGAATTGGAAAGGAATCAGTAAAAATCTATCTGAATTTACTCAAAACTATACTTGACCACATAGAATTGCATATATACAAAGAAATATAAAATGCCATACAAAGTTTTATTCTTCATGTACATAAATATTGTCAACTAATTTGGAACTATAATTATTTGTCAATTCATCCCTTGGGTTAGCTCCTCCGTCCTGTTCTTTTGTATAGACTGAGCCCTGTTTTGAATATATAAAGCTTAGAACAACACTTCAAAGACACCTTAATAGCACCAGTGGTTAATAATTCTTGATTCTTCATGGTTAGATGCTCCGTGTTATGCAGATGTTCCCAGGCATTACCTGTAAAGAAGAACTACAGATGAGTTTGAAGGATTCTGTATTAAAAAAAACACTTTCAGCAGATGAAATCTACGTCTAAAATAATTTGCACTTCAAGGGATTTATGAATGATGTTGAAAAGACCAAGAACAATAATAACACAGATTGAGACAGAGAAACTGAGGTTGAAGGACAGATATATGAAAAGAGAGACAAAGAGAAAGACTGAAAGGGAGGGAGGGAGGGAGGGAGAGAGGGGGAGAGAGAGAGTATGAGAGAGAGTATGAGAGAGAGTATGAGAGAGGGTATGAGAGAGAGAGAGAGTATCAGAGAGAGAGACAGACAGAGACAGAGACAGAGAGAGAGAGAGACAGAGACAGAGAGAGAGACAGACAGAGACAGAGACAGAGAGACAGAGACAGAGACAGAGAGAGAGAGAGAGAGAGAGAGAGAGAGAGACAGACAGACAGACAGACAGACAGAGAGAGAGAGAGAGAGAGAGAGAGAGAGAGAGAGAGAGAGAGAGAGAGAGAGAGAGAGAGAAGAGAGAAAGAGAGAAAGAGAGAAAGAGAGAAAGAGAGAAAGAGAGAAAGAGAGAAAGAGAGAGAGAGAGAGAGAGAGAGAAGAGAGAGAGAGAGAGAAAGAGAGAGAGAGAGAGAGAGAGAGAGAGAGAGAGACAGAGACAGAGACAGAGACAGAGACAGAGACAGAGAGAGAGAGAGAGAGAGACAGAGATAGAGAGAGAGACTGTTCCGAATTCATATCCTACTTACATGACATATATGTGACACCCCAGAATACGTCTTGTGCCGTTCTGTCGCAGTTCCAGAATTGAGAGGCCAATGCTCCAGCTGCCATAATATTGCACAACCTCTCGGGTAGCTGGATTGCAGGTCCTCTTCACACTGACCACCAACGATCATATTTTTTTTTGTGCAAGATTTAATTATGTATTCTCAAAATTCTATTTTAATGAATATGTTTCCACCTATAAAATACTCTTCACCAAAGCCCTGAGTTGGGTTAGAAATATGGCACTATTGTTCAATTTTGTTAAATTAAGTTCTACGTCAATTACTTCCTATTTTGCGATACAGAATTAACAAAGCTATTCATATGATGGACGGCAGCAGGCAGTACGAGGAAGGCGCCCTGTAAAAAGAAAGAAGTGAATGAGTAAAAAGATTCCACAAAATAATATTTAAACGTATGTATGTATGTTGTACAGATTTTGGGTCTGTATTATTCTGAGTGAATAATCTAAATAACGACCTATTTGTATCTTGCTGAATCCCACATATCACTAGTTAGATTTTTTTTTTTATCTATAGTTAGACCTATTAAATCCCTCACAGGTCCATACAAAATTGTAGACCAAAGTGATTATTTATCATCAAATAAAGACCTAGTGTTCCTCTGCCCTGCTAGAATATATGTAGAGGAGGGTTGTTGGCCTTTGATGGAGTACAAAGCATTAAACCTTATCAAGCAAGTACCAATGCACCACAACCATGCTATACTTGAGATTACAAGCCGTATACCATTAATCACAGCAAGTTTCAATTGATCTTGGATAAGCAAACAGAAGTACAAAACAGAAATAGAGAAATGCAGACAGGCAGACCGACAGATTTTGAATATCTAGTGTAAGGTTTTCCAGGAGTTATAGGATAAATCCATACTGTGATATAAACAAATGCACTTAAACATGAGCTATTTATAATAATATTGTTATTTCAAAATGGTGAATAGATAATCATTACTTTCTATAACCAGCTGATGAATAGACTTGAACTTAATGCATATAAAATATCAAAATTTGTAAACTATAACATACAGGGAATATAATAAGGCATCACACGATAAAAAAGTCTTAAGCATTATGAAAGGTTCGTACTTTGGCTTATTTTTACTTTTGGTTCTCGCTATATACACCATGCGTGTTTTACATAATATTACTGATAAATGCAATCATTTTCTCATTTCTCTCTAGAGTTTGCCACAGGCTCCACATCTGTCAGCTCTCTCGCAATGGCCAACTAACTTTCAAACATTATCTTGCAACATGAATGCTAGTTGATCACTTTCGGTAATATATTGTTGACTAAGGAACCAGTCCAAGACTTATCATTTTGGTATGCTGGCAATCACTCGACAAAGAGCCACTATCATGTTGGACTTCAGATGGCAGGTCATGTCTGAGGTATCACGACAAATTTCAAGGCCAGACTATTATTTTGAGAAAGAAGTCCTACTCTGCATATCACAGTGGCTTCAAAAGATTTATATATATTTTTGGGGGAGTCGTGTTACCTTGCCTTCTCTGAACTTATAATATATAACAGAGAGAGATGAAATAATATATTATACATAAATATTATATATCATATATTATATATAACCTGGTTCAGATAAAAAAACTCATGATCTCTAAAAGTCCTTGTCAAAGAAACATTCTAAGGATTATCTGTTATTTTCTGACTATATCTTAAATCAATATTTTGTCCTTACATTGCAAGATTCAACATTTACACACGGCAAGACCAAGCAGATTCTGATCCCTTGTTTTCCCAACAATATCTGAAATAAGTCTGCAACTTTGCTGATGACTACCAGTGGGTCCCATGTGATGGGGGGGGGGGGGTGTAGAGCCTCCTCGGTTTCAAATATATTCATATTTATATATCATATATATGTGTTATAATAGGCCAAGTCAGGTCTGCTACGTTAGGTTAAAAGGTTATTTACATTGCAAGGAGTAACACCTTTACTATTAACAGCGTCTTGTAATCCTGTTGCTTTTATTGCAATGGTGACAGTATTGTGGCTACATTTTTAAGAATAATGAATTTGGTAATGTTTTTATTCTTTATTTATTTATTTTTTTTATTTTCAGTCATTACTTGCTATTTCTTGTCTAAGAATTGTCTGCTTTGCATCCTATATAAAATGGCTTCACAATTAACATACAGCTGATTCCTACACCCTACAGAGGTTATACATTTTATAAAATGTATAACCTCTGCAAGATTTTTTTTTTTCCCCCTTCAGAAGAGATCTGTAACCTCAGTCAAACCTAAAGACCTGGAAATGCATCAGAAAATTTGAACGCACAGCCAGTCTCCATCTATTTATCATCAGGCCAAGTGGAGGATTCTTGCTTAACCTCTGCTGCAGTGAAATCCGGCTCTTTGGAGATCATCCCTTCACTGCCTTCAAATGTAACGATGAGTTTTGCTGTTCAGAAGCCAAATTCAATGGAAATTCAAAATTGGGTTCATATTTTTTTTTTCTCTTTTTTTAATGATGAATTAACTAGCTCTTCAAATTCAAAGTACTTATTCCTGCACTAACAAATAACATATCATATCAGCTGACTCGCATATGTGTGTGTGTGTTTGTGGATATATATGTGCGTGTGTGTGCGCGTGTGTGCGTGCGTATGTGGGTGCGTGCATGCGTATGCGTGTGTGTGTGTGTGTGTGTGTGTGTGTGTGTGTGTGTGTGTGTGTGTGTGTGTGTGTGTGTGTGTGTGTGTGTGTGTGTGTGTGTGTGTCTGTGTGCTAATTAATTGATTTCTTTGTGGCTAAGCACTAGCAGAGCTATCTATGTACTTAGACATTTCACAAAAGTAGAAAAAAAAAAAAATAGGCATAGCATTTTCCCTATTTTTTATTAATTTTCCCCAGCACCAATGAGTTAATTGTAACTGAAATTTGTTTATTTCTGTGGGAGTAATGTATCAAGTAGTTCAGTTACATTATTTTATGCACATAACATAAATGGTAATTCCATTAATATGTGTGCAAATGCTTCCCAAGGGTGCTAGGTATATATGTTACCCTGGGGGTAGGGAATATACACCACGGTGTTAGGTTAGGTTGGCTGTTGGGTTAGGTCGCCCATTTGCACAAGGAACAATGCTTAGAATCGTTGAAAGCAGTGGATTTCATGCAGAAAAATATCAAAATTGTTTGGAAAGTAACCCATCTTCTTCCCTTTTCTTTTACGTATAGCACCCTTGGGAAGCATTTGCACACTTATTGCCATAGAAGAACTTTGTCTTGGATTGTATTGTTCTATCATTTCATGTAGGTTTTATTATCCAACTCTGCCACTACCTTGTACTACATATTGACTGAAAAGTGTTTGTTTTTGTCAAGGTAACACTCTGGCACTTCTTGCTTTTACTGTAATCGTGACAGTCATACAGAGGATATTTTCCCAGGTCTTTGTAAATGATTCATATTTTACTTAGCAATTTTGGCCTTGCTATGGCATTCTCACCACTTAACGAAACTTATATTTGAAATGAGTATTAGGAGTTAGAAGCCTCTTGGGTTCAAATACCCCAACGAAACATCAAAAAGAAAAGAAAAAAATTCCGCTTCTAAACCTTCACACGCGAAATTTGCAAAAAAAAAACACCCAACCGTACGAAAAACTTCAACCAAACATCCCTGACTCCCCAACCAACCCCCCAGACGTAAAACACAACCACGAGACCTCAGTGCCCCTTCTGCAGCAGGTCGATCTCCGCCTGCGTCTGCTGGATCTTCCTCTGCAGCCGCTCCCGCCGCCGCTTCAGCCACTCGATCCGCCACGCCTTGAACTGGTAGCCGCACACGAAGCCCAGCGCCAGCGTCGCCCCCACACCCACGGCCAGCGACGTGGCGCTCACCGTCACCTCCTGCTGGCCCATGTCTCACTCTGTCCCGCCGGAGGGTCTCTCGTCTGCCTGCGGGTGCGTCACGTTCGCCGAAGACGCGTTCGTGTAAGAGACGTTCGTGTAAGAGACGTTCCTGTAATAGGCCTTCGTGTAGGAGACGTTCGTGTAGGAGGAATTCCTTGAAGGGCATTGCTTACTTATTAGATAATTCATGCTTGCAAGAACAGGTAGTCTCAGGTTTATCTTATTGCAAATAAACACTAT